CTCTCGCTTTTAATCCTAAGCTCGAGTTTAATACTAGAAAATTGCTGTCAATGAGTGAATTAGTGATAAGTAGTGCACGTAATAAAAAATAAATAACAGACAGAAATTTATTTGAAAAGAGAGAATGAGAAACCAATTTTCAATAGATATGTTTGATTTGTTTGACAGTTTATTTTGAGGGCTTTTTTGTGTAGTTGGCTTCAATTGAGCCGTTTTCACGAGCTCTGGGAGACGCTGAGAGAGAGAGAGAGAGAGAGAGAGAGAGAGAGAGAAGATTTGTTTGACAGTTTATTTTGAGGACTTTTTTGTGTAGTTGGCTTCAATTGAGCCGTTTTTACGAGCTCTGGGAGACGCTGAGAGAGAGAGAGATGGCTTGTCTGCCGAGAATGAGATGGGTATTCACGGAGGAATGGGATCTATAGATGTGTTATATTGTGTGTATTATATGGAGTGCCGGAGAATATGATGAAAATTCATATTTACAATCTATCATCGCATTGAAAAATAAGAAAAGTTCAGTTAGTTTTTGTGCTCTAATAGTGCGTAAGTTTTTTGTATACAAAAAAGATTATGAAAGTAGTGAAGAAGAGAGCATTTGAGAGAGAGAGAGAGAGAGAGAGAGAGAGAGAGAGAGTTGGGAGAGATTGTCTGAGGGATGGGTGAGAGAGTGATGTGTTCTCTCCTCAAACATCACATAATGGAAAGTGTAATATGAAGTGAACGCTAAATAAATCTTTTGATTCACTCGAATGGTCTGAACAATAAATATAATTATAATTTTCAGTGCATTATTCTATTTGACACATAATGCCCGTAGACTTACATACAGTACTATACATTTGATATACACTTGATGTACACCGACTCTACTCGTCCTTATCTGCCAGTCCTCAACATCCCTGTCCTCTGCCTGTGCTCTGCCTGTCCTCCCGTTCCCCTTATCTCTGGCAACCATCTCCTCACTCGCTCTGTAGTGTTGTATACATTACTATAATTGACTGTTATTTTGATTTTTATGTTTTTAGCGCCGAAAATATACTTTATTAGCCCTAAGAATGTAGATAAGAGTCTATTGTGCGGATAATAAACAGTCATATCATACCATTTCTCATCATTTTTCATGACAACCGTTTGGCGGAGACTTTTTCGACCAATTTGTCAATTCATACAACGATATCGCCTTTACTTTAAAATTGTTGTTTTTAATGTAATTAATTTTGTTGTAGAGATTATACAGGGTTTCTGTTAGGTTTAGATTAAATAGACACTAAAATTACTGGGCTTTTAGTTAAACAATATTTATTTTATTTTATACTCAACTATCGATAAATTTATCAATAGTTGGTAAAAGTAATTACAATAGTTATTAATAGTTAATATAATATAATAAATTAAAATTTATTCATACATTTATCAATGACTTATACTGTATACCTATTTATAAGGAAATACATATTTCATTAAATTTGGATATTATCTGATATTACTGTATATTTATACATTGATAAGTTATCACAATAAATGATACACTGGACTGACTTTAAAATTAAAATCAAAACATTTCCCAATTTTTATCTGAAAATTTAAATCATTTAATTTGTTTTCACTAATAGTTACTATTTCTAGAATATTGCGTAAAATTTTTTTTTAATAAAATATACCTGATTTAGGCATTTAGCAAATTAGTTGCCATATTAGGTTATAAACATAACTGTTTATTAATAGAACATGTTTAAATTATATTTAAGATACTTTTTACTATAATTAATACAAACACTTTATTATTACAATATAAAAGCTACATTAATTAATATAATGAAACAATAGTATCTATAAAAATCAATAATTAGATCAATTAGTAAAAATAGCATCTAATTTATATTGAGTTAAATATTATATAAAAACAATCATGATTAAACTCTAAGTCCAATGTTTGTTTAAAATGCAATTTAATAAAAATGAATTTAAAGTCAAATCACAACTGTTTGACACAGTTTTGTGTTTTTGAAGACTACTTCACCGAAAAAGGTATGAAAATGTAATCTTAAATAAATGTAAAGAATAAATGTTTTCATAAAAGATTTTGCAAAAACAGAATTTGAATATTTATGCTCTAAATTCTTAGTGTAAATAGATTTCAATTATTAAATTGTGAGATAAGAAAAACAAAATGTATATAAATTTAAATAATATATATTTTTCGTGGTAACTATTTTGTCAACATTTCCTATGCATTATATAGTGGTTGAGAAATATTTTGTTTTTATATGAAATTTAAATACATTTGAATTGTTGAGACATTTGGAGAAAAAATCTTTCGCTCTTATAATCAATACAAACAGATCTTTTTTAATAGATTCTGAAATTTGATTTTTATTTTTATATATTTTTTAGTAAAAAACCTCAAGAGATGAACAAAAAAGGAGAAGAAAATTTAGTTAAAGTTTTATTAGAAAAATATTTTTTATGTTACTTTTGAGTATAAAGTGTGAAACTTCTCTTTCATCTCTCATTTTTAGTATATTTTATATCATGAAATCTTCATCAAAAATGTTACTTTTATTATAATTTTAACATTTATCAGAGAGAGAGAGAGAGAGAGAGAGAGAGAGAGAGAGAGATGACGTATAACTTAAAATTTATTTCCGCATTTTGAAGACATTTTTATGTATTTTGATTAAAATAATAGTTAAGATTCTGTGGATTTGAAATATTAAACGTAAAAATATTTCTAAATTTTGCACAAAACAATTTTCAACAAGAATTGAAACACAAAAAATTTATATAATTATTCCAATAGGTATACAACGGAACAAAACTAAAAAAGTTTTTATTACAAAATTGTTTTATTTTGTGTACACAAAAAGCTTTTGCAAATATTAAACTGAGAAATACATGCAATAAAACTTTAAAATACTTTTAAAGTAATATTTGTTTTTTTTGTGATTCAATAAATTGATTTTCTAGGATATTATTGAGAGTGAGTGCACACAAGAGGGAGGGAGAGAGCAGATGAGAGAGAGAGAGAGCGAGCTATTATAGTATGTTGTGTTCGACCAGTAGTTGAGTTGCTTTCTATCATAAGATACTGTATATAGACTTCAGTCTAATATCAAGTTATTTTTGTGTCGATTGAAACAAAAGAAAAAATTCTTGATTTGTTTCAATAAAAACTTTTTTGATGTTTTGATGTAAAACACATTTCGTATATTGATTTCCAAAGTTTCCTTTATTTCTATTTTTGTACTCTCTCTTTCTCTTTCTCTCTCTCTCTCTCTCTCTCTCTCTCTCTCTNTATATAATAAATTAAATGAATTACAAGTGAGAGAGAGGGTATGCAATAGACTATTATATTTGTATCTATTGTTTGCGATGGGAAAGGGATGGGAAGCGGAGGTGTGTTTCGTTAAACACTCAATAAATGGTAACACAAAAGGAAATTAAATATATTTTCATTAAGAAATTGTTAGACGAGAGAGAGAGAGAGAGAGAGAGAGAGAGATGTTGATCTCTCTGGCGAAAGATGTGTTCTTCCTTTCCTTTTTCGAAATGTATTGTAATTTTATTTCCATCCGAAAGAGTATTGCAATCAAATGCAAATGTTTTGTGCAAAACTCTTATGCACTCTATTTGTATCGAAAGAAATACTCAAATCTGGGATTTAAAAACAGAGAACAGATTTCATTTCATTTCTTAAGTTTCGATTGTGTTGTATGTGTTGTACAGCTCTATAAGAAATGTATATAAAATATATAATAGAAAATAATATATAAAATACAAAATTACAACCAAAATAACAATTGGGTATCGGATTGTATAAGCCGTCGGTTTTCATATTCGTTGCTAAAACCCAATTCAAAACTATTCAATAAAATAATACAACAGAAAAACACACTCAAAGACTTCAAAATACAAATTTGTGTCAATTTTTAGTAATCTTTCTAATCATAAAGAAAAATATATCGATAGATATGCTCCGCTCTAATGGCTTAGTCCTTATGTAAGCCATGATTTATTTTTGTAAATCAACATAAGTTTTATGTTTTTATCGGAAAATGCCTACAATTTATTAATCTTTATATTACGGTATTTTCTTTCCCAAATCTGAGCTCTTAATCCAGTCGTTAAACGCCATTATAAATCATAATTAGGATTATTGACCGATAATGGAGGCGATGTTTAACAGGATTTTAACTTTATATAAAATCAGGGCTTTTTCTGTTTTCTTCATTAACACAACAAATATATTATTAACACAACTATTTTATGTATAAAAATATTATGAAATTTGCATTTAATTAATATTAATGAAGACTTGGTTTTATGAACACAAATAGTTAATTTTTCTGTTTTCTTCATTAACACAACAAATATATTATTAACACAACTATTTTATGTATAAAAATATTATGAAATTTGCATTTAATTAATATTAATGAAGACTTGGTTTTATGAACACAAATAGTTGCAAATGACATACAAATGTCTGCTAAAAATAAATTGTCAATTAATAAAATTTTCCATAAATTGCATAAATATTAAACAATAACAAAATAATGCATTAATTGGTTACAAAACTTCTATGTATTCACTATTTTATAACTAACAATATTAACTGTTATTTACAATTAGAAAGAAAATTATTAATGAGAAAATAAATTTAAACCAATTATTTCGTATAAATTATGATAATTAAGTTGTTATTACTGTTAAGACTTTATTAATAAATTATGAATCATAATTATAAAAATATTATCAATACATAAGATTAAATATCTTAGTTTATAGACATTTTTCCAGTGATAAACATATTTTAATAATAATAATAATTAGTATTGTTTAATTATTTTCTGCATTGAAAATGTTTTTAATTAATTTAAATATCAAATCCTTGAGTTATTAAATCTTTAATTAATTATCGCTTTTATTATTTTATTTAATAAATCCTATAAAATACAAAAGCATTAAACATTAAATTAAATAAAATATTAACATTATTAGCCGATTATAAAAATGAATACAATAACTTTATTTGAAATTTTCAATTTATTAATTTAGATTTATAAATTCTTATAAATGATGGCATTTAAATTAATTTGGGTTGACTTCAAAACATTTAACTAGGTGGCAACTTGCACACATGGTGCTCCTCATCGTAAATGGACCCTGGTCCACAATGGTAGAGAATATCCTGGAACTTTCCCGGACCGTTATTAATACACTCGTGATATGCGGTCTTATCCTGAGGGTCGGGGAAGAAACCCGAGGCCTTACACACAAAAGTTCCCGGCGCTGAAGTGGATCCGGGCTGTGGTGTTGGCCCCGGCTTTCTTGTGGGCAGAGACACCGGCGCGACGGTAGGGCCGGGCATCGGGGTTGTTGGTCCCGGTGGCGGTGCCTTAGTGTGATGGTGTTCAATGATTACTGGGTCCGGATTGCCGTCAACTGTAAAGTCGGACAATAAGTTTTGATGATATTTGCGTTCATTAAATCAAATTAAGAGGCAATGAATGGATTCAATACTAACTTCCGTTCAATTCTTTGCTAATAGTCTTCAGTAACGGATACTTTCCTTTACCGCACAGACCTTTCAAACAAATCAATTCATTTAATTATATTAGCGATTGGTTGTAATAAAGCGCTTTACCTTTGAAGTCATCGGTATCTATGGACCAAACCATTCCTCCTCCCAATCCCTTACTCTTAATAAAGTCGACCTTAGCTTTGATGCTCTGTTCGTCATCAAAACCGATCCACTGGTCACCGCTCACGGCGTACGGGATCTTCTGGATGTCATTTCTGTACACTTTATAACCACTTTTCAGGTACTGACAGATCTGTCAATTCATTTTTGCTTACATTACCATTTTGTTATCATAATTATTGTCGCGTAATGTTATTACCTCGTTGTAGCCAAGAGTGCCAATGAGTCGAGTGATAGGGCCCGCCTGACCGCCCTTTCCCACAGCCTTAGCGCCGATATCGTGTTGATTGGGATCCGCCAAAGTGAATGTGCGTCCGTATAGAGGCATTCCCATAACCTGTTATTATATCGTATATATTAAACATATGGTTGATTAACATTATGCTAATTATAGAATACAATTTTCTTGGGATCAGCTCCCGATTTGAGCCAATAGTCAACAGCGAATTCAATGGTAAACTCTTTGTCCAATTCGACATCACCGGGAAGGGGATGGAGGGGTGCGTTGTGTGCTATCAATGGTATAGTAAAATAAAATTTTGTAATTTGATGTATAAATTATCATTACTGTCGAAACCAATGATTACTAACCGGTCTTTTGTTCCCAACCGCCGTGAAAGTCGTATGTCATAACGTTTATGAAATCCAGGTATTGGTTCATCGCTTTGATATCATAGGCCCTATCAATGGTGGGCTTACCGGCGGACACAGCGGCCGACAGTACAAAACCGTGCGGTTTGAACGCCTCGTGAAGCTCTTTCAATAACGCGATATAATTTGCTTTATCGGTGTCTTTGCCGGGCTTTCGGTCCGCGTCGCCCACCGCTTGCATTCCCGGGTATTCCCTTCAATGGGGTTTCAATAGTTTTTACATTTCATTATTTCATTGAATGTTTTTATTTATTGGTAAATACCAGTCGACGTCCAGACCATCGAAGTTCTGTTCTTTCAAGAATTTGACCACAGAATCGACGAATGTCTTACGGGAAGCGGCGTTACTGACCATATTTGAGTACTTGTCTGAACCCTCATTCCAGCCCCCGATGGCGATCATTGTGGTCGCGTGTGGGTTCACTAGACGCAAGTCATTCCACCGACGGTACATTCCTGACAGTTATAGCACAAGTATGTCATATATTCAATATAATTGCATATTGGGGTCAGTGAATGAGTGAGTGAGTGAGTGAGTGAGTGAGAGATCGTTAGTACAGTATAAATGTACTGACATTGTTGGTACTTTAAGATATACTGCAATATACGAGTTCATAAATACCATTTAATTATATAAGTGTACTTAAACATTTGTATTAATTAACTATTTAAT